AGTCTCCTTCCGAGGAGTGGCTGGTGGGTTTGAACCTCCAGCTTTCCTGTCAGCAGTCAAATGCCTTCGGCACTACACCACCAGAAGATGGTAAAAATTTTCAATTTCCTCAACTTTGGCTTTGGTGTTTGGTGTGTAAATTGAATAATATTAGTATTAACTGGTCTTCCTTGTAGGCATATAGATATTACCCTATCACTGATAGCATTGCACTTCAAGATAGATCTTGAAACATTCTTTGTGACGATGAACGCCACATCATTCCTGTTCAGTTTGTCATTCTCAGTATAGTAGATTATATGGTCAGATTCAAAATGACCAAAGCCAGTCCATTTCAGCTCATTAATGCCCAGGATATTGATCTTTACGTGTTCCATTTCATTTTTTATAATGTCCAATTTTCCTAGATTCACACTTCATAAATTCCAAATTCCAATTCTTAACTGATGTTTGCAGCCGTTTCTTCCCATTTTGAATCATGTCACATCAGCAAATGGAGGTTCCAAAAGCTTGACTCTATCTATGTCATTAAAGTTGACTCTACTCTGAGGAGGCAGCTCTTACCCAATCATATTTTGAGTGACTTACAACCCAAGGGGCTCATCTTTTCAGCACTATATCGAACTATATTTCAGAGCTAATTGTAACGTTTTCCAGTAATATATCAGATAGTGTTTCACTGCTATTCATAAGGTGTTCACTGCCCAATTCATTGAGAAGTGGACAGCCTCTTCCTTCTTCTGAGTCTGTCTTAGTCTGGAAGCTCCACTGAAACCTGTCCACCATGGGTACCCCTGCCGGCATTTGAAATATTGGTGGCATAGTCTCTAGCCTCACAGCAACACTCAAGCCACCACAGTATGAGAAACTGACAGACAAGTGGTGGACAAAACAGAATTGGTTCATTTCCCACATATTTTTCTAAATCAGATCAAAGGATTAGTTCCTGGAAGATAGCAAGATCATTTTACAAATTAAGAAGAAAAAAGACACAACACACGGACACATCTCATAAACCGCCTGTTGAACAAAGTAGTTCCATTTACATAAAGTTCAAAAACAGGCAAAGCCAACCTCCTCACTTCCAGGGGAACACAGTAAATTGGAAAGGACAAAGGGGGCTTTCTGGGGCTGGTCATGCTCCATTTCTCTGTCTAAGTGTTGGTTACCCTGTGTTGAGTTTGTGAAAATTCATTACACTCTGTATGTATGTTGTTATGTGCCGTCAAGTCGGCCCCGACTCATAGCGACCCCTCCTTGGGTTTCCGAGGCAGTATCACTACGGAAGTATGTATGTAACATCTTAATTAAAAAGTTTACTTTGATCAAAGGGTAGGAACAATTCACATAGGAGCAAATCAAACACCAAGAAATATATGAAAACCTTCTCAGGAATCCAAAAATTGTAAGTTCAGATTTTAAGGTTAAACTTTCATTTGTCACATTGGCAAAAATTAAGTTCCATTTTCTTAGTTATTGCCCCAAAAATGTTTGATTACACTTGATTTACTTGATTTAGGATGGAAACAAGGTTTTCTAATTGTACTGGATTACTATGGGTCATAAGCCTTACAACAATCTACTTCGGTAGATTTACCCCCTGGGAAACCCAAAGGGGTCTCTATGAATCGGAATCCACTCGATAGCGGTGAGGTTTTTTGCTTTTTTTTTTTTGGTAAGTCTTACAAAATCAATACTCCTCTCCCTTTTTAAGGAGCTCTAGTGCTATAGAACCTAAAGCATTTGACTACTAACCAGAAGGCTGGTGGTTCAAACCCACCAGCCACTCCTCAGAAGGAAGATAGGGCAATCTGCTTCTGTAGAGACAATGCCTCGCCAACCAGAAGACTCCACAGCAGTGAGTTGTTTTTTTCACCCCCCTCTCCTTTTAGGCCGTTTTTTTGTCGAAGAAATGGATCACTTGTTCTGTTGAACGCCTCAAACTCTGAATTTGGACGATTGCTTCTGCCTCTTCTCATTTGTTTCTCTATTCCTCATATTTCCTGTAAAGTGTCCGTTAGATCAGCCTCATCAA